AGGAATAAACTGTTTAGAGCTCTCTCTGATCAGGTGTGCTTAGCTGGGGATCTAAAACAGTCTCTCTTCTCCAGCTAGCAATTGCTCTTTTTCAGCTACCATTCCTGTGTCTTATTTTGCTTTTGTAAACTTGAAAACTTTTGGCATCCAACTTTTCCCTTTCCATGAAATATGCCTTAATGACAGATGACATCTGCTTCGCCAGGCACTTCTTTTAAGCACAAACTGCAGATATCTGCTTTTCTAGGTTTAACTTGAAAGTTTTCATCCTATCTAAGGACATTGCTTTGCTTGTAGGTGCCTATTTTATTCACCCGTCTACCTATTGAGTTTCCGTTTCATCATTTGCTGCAGCTTCAACCCAGGTTCCCAAGAATAGTTAGGCACTTAAATTCCATTCAAATCAACCTGATTTGTATATCTAAACAAGTCCTTGGAGTGGGACTGTCTTCCACATAGATCACGCCAGTCATGCTGTTATACAGGCAAACCTTCAAAACCTCAGAGGTAAAAAGCTGATTCCAGATGTTCAGTCTGAGTCTCTTAAACTGCCATTTGTGGCCCTGATTATACTGTTTACTGCTACCCAGAAAAGTTTGGCTCTGTCATCAATGTTACTCCCCATTGAGGAGCTGTAGGCTCCGGTTGAGTGCTCCAGAGAACAAGACTTCCAACATGTTTGGTTTTTTTTGTGGTGGGTTTTTTGCCTTAAAAATCTTATTATAGCACATGCAGAAGCAGTTCAGAAACTCTGTTCTTCCCTTCTTCAGGTAAGCACAGGACACAAGTGTGGACTTCCCACTGGCTCATACCACAGCCAAACCTTATCAACTTCTTTTGAAAAGTAGATATAATTAAGAACTTTCAAAAACATTTGGCCTGTAGTCTCTTACCTATGAACTCTTGTAGACCCTCTTGAGCAAGAACTGCATATTCTCCTGCATCATTTCTTTCAAAAAGATCTTTGGCCTTGAGCTACTCACCTACAAACTCTTATAGCCCCTCTTGAGCAAGATCTGCATATTCTGCTGCATCATTGTTTATATAAAGAGGTGTTTGGTTAATATGTTACCCAAACTTTGGAAACATCACTGCTTGACATGCTGGCTCCTGCTTACTGTGTAGAACATCATGTGTGAGTTCCAGGCACCTTTTTGAGCAAATGTGTAAGACAAAGTTGGCAGTTTAGTTCTCTCATGTCAATAGCAAAACATGCTCCTTGTATTATAAGCTCTCTGGAGAAGCTCAGTGGCCATGGAATTTGGGAAGCAGTACTCCTGACTTTAATCTGGCACAGGACAGTCAAGTGCACAGTGACTCACTTCAAACAACCCTGATCCAGAAAAATCTCTTTAGAAGCAACTGCTACCTCTGCTAATCAAAGACCCTGCTAGTTATTCTGAATTATTTAAGATAACATAAATGCATGGAAATGCTTCTTGCTTTAGATCCCTTGATAGCACTCTTATCAATGCTGTTATCACTGTTTAAAATGTGACCTTTGAACTCCGTCAACCTATATTAGCAAACATTTTGCAGAGGTAAAGATTAAAGACCACCAAGTTATAAATGAGGTACAACTATTTTTTGCTTTCATATGCTGCTTGGAAGAAGTAAGAAGGA